CACTCTTAAGAACAGTGCTCCTGCAATTCTCTCCTCCATTTCCAGTGTCAACAATTTTCCTCCCTATATTGCATCCTTCTTCCAGCATATTTGTATGATCTATCCCCACATTTAAAAATATATTTATATCCTTGGACTGCATATCTCTTTCAAGCAACCACCCCATCTTGATTCTCTGTTATTCTTTCTAAATAACAGTTCCACTTTACTAAATCTAGTGGTCAATTTCAATACTCTTCTTACTTGATCTATCATTCTTATGAATTGAAGTAACACCTTGCTTACTTAAGTCTTACTTGGGTTCTTGAAAGTCACTCATTCAACTTCTACAGAAGCTACATCATCTAATTTTTAGCATATTAATCAATGCTTAGAGAACACATTGCTTGATTCTATAAAGAGATTTACTAATACCTGCCCATTAAAATATCTCCCAAATGGTTACACTTGAAATTAGATTCTGCGAACACTGATTTAGAGAAAGTAAATTTATTCTGCATTTTTTAATGTTAAAATATCCAAAAAAGTATTACAGAATTGAGTCAATTCACATACAGTTTAGCAATCGTGAAGAACCTCTAATGTGGCTTATTATCAGAATCACTTAGAGAACTATTAAAAGACAGAATTCCCACATAATCAGTGTTACTGCATAATGTAAAGCCTAGTTTGGAATCTCACGTATAAATACACTTCCTGGGTACCTACATAAGAAAACAGTCGTTCATTCTGAGTTCTGATGATGGTACCTCTGTCTTGTCCTAAAAAAAAATAACAGCTGTGTCCACTGACACCATCTCTGTGAACACAGAGAGCAAAATAACACATGAACCATCACTGGACCTTGAAATGCTTCCATGTGACCAATGTTTTCCATGCTTCTAGAAAGTCTGATTAATCTCAGTCTTTCAAGGTAAAAAAAAAAGGTACCTTTTAAATTATTGAGATTTTCAAAATGAATAGCCTCAATCTTGATTGTGAACTGAAACCCAAAATCTTCATTGTTGGCAAAATTTGTCCTAATAACGCACATTTATATAAATACTTTTTAATTTTTTATTTTTATGGATACATTATAATTGTATATATTTATGGGCTATACATAATATTTTGACAAAAGCACACAATGTGTAATGATCATATCTGGGTAACTGGGATATCCATCACCTCAAACATTTATCATTTCATTATGTTGAGAAAATTCTAAATTTTATCTTCTAGTTGTTTTGAAATATACAGCCAGTTATAAACTATAGTTGCCCTATCATGATGTTATTCTTCCTACCTAACTGTATTCCTGTATATATTCATCAACTCTTCATCTCCTCTCCTCACTACCCTTCCCATCCTCCAGTAACTACCATTCTGTTCACTACCGTCATGAGGTCAATTTTTTAAAATCTCCCACATGAGTGAACATATGCAGTATTTGTCTTTCTGTGCCTGCCTCATTTTATTTAATATAGTATCCTCCAGTTCCATCCACGTTCCTGCAAATGGCAGAATTTTAGCCTTTTTATTACATTATCTCACCCCAGTTAAAATGGCTATTATGGAAATAACAGAAAATAAATGCTGATGAGGATGTAAAGAAAAGGGAATGATCATAATCTGTTGGTAGGAATGTAAATTAGTACAGCCACTATGGAAAACAGTATGGAGGTTCCTCAGAAAATTAAAAATAGGACTAGCATATATCTAGCAATCCCACTGGTAGTTATATATCCAAAAGAAATGAAATCGGTATGTCAAAGAGATCTCTACATTCCCATAATTTGTGGAGCACTATTCACAATAGCCAACATACGGAATCAACCCAAGTGTTCATCAAAAGATGAATAGGTTAAATAAGCATTTGGAAGTTAAGAAAAAGCTCGAATTTGTGGGAGAGAGAATTGTGACTTTTTAATATAAATATTTGTATTTTATACCAATAAAAGTAAAATAATGAAATAGCCTTTACAACATATTGATCATCAATCAGTTATACAAACCTGTATTCCTGCCTCACAGTTGAACCTTGGGTAATCTGAAGGACGGAGAATAATTTTAATCTGTATTTTATCATGTTTGAGTCTATCATTTTAATTCCTTAAAAATCAGTCATGTGAATACTGCTATAAATAAATACTCTTCAAAGTAAGGGCAGAAGTCTGTGGATACTTTATCCACACTTGAAAAACAGCACATATTGTTGAGTCATTCGACTGGTGCATCTCCAAAGGTGATTCTTCTCTAATTAAATTCATTGGGACCTTTATCGTAATTCTGAGGGTAGGCTCTGTATCTCCAGAGATGCCTATGTATAACAAGATTTATAGAACCATGTCCTCTAGGAAAAAAATTACAAAAGAATAATGAGATCAAAAAGGAAACAGTCCAGTCTAGGCATAAATGAAATATATAAAACCTAGTATTTAAATCATGACCTGCAAAATAGGCAAATCTGTTGAGTGTATAGCCACAGACAAGCTTCATTAAGGGGTCCATGTCACAGACAAAATGACCAATGACATTGGGGTCATAAGATGGGAGCCCATAAATAAGGCCAAGTTGAATTACTGTGTGCAAAAATCCTCCAGCCCAGGACACCACCAGCAGCACAACACACAGCCATTGCTTCGTGACAACCAAATACTGCAAGGACTTGCAGATGGCCCTATAGTGGTCTAGGCCATCACCAACAGAAGGAAAACCTGTGACCCACCAAGAAAAAAATGCCCTGTAAAGAGCTGGGTGCTGGGTCGTACAATATTGGAGAGAGAAATGCATGTTTGAGTATGGAGTGGTTGTGCATAGTCTTCTAGTCCATGAAAAGGCCAATTAGCTTTAGTGTAAATTTGGTTAATCAGATACCTTACTTTATACCAATTTATCTCAGCATTTCTAAGTGAGTGCAAGACCTTTTATTTGGGGAAAAAATGGTAGAAACTAAAATAAAAGGAGAACATGCAGAGACAAAGTGGAGATCATCGCTGTTGAATACATCAGAAAGTTCACCAACTGCCAGGAGGCACACACAAGGTGTTTTGAAAAAAGATGATGGCTTAAATGCATATGTGTAATTTTGTATCATCTGTATTTTAATTAGAGCTGAATTAATTATAGTAGGTTAAGGTTGCTAAAGTATGTTTGCGTGTGAGTGTGTGTATGTATCATCTTTATTTTATTTTTAATAAAATGTGTATTTTTTAATCGAGGACAGCTGTTATTGATGCTCCTCCAGGTCAGATAGAATTCCCCTTTCCACAAACAGAAACTGCTCACCAGTGAGTTTACTTATTCACGTCCTTTCAGTTTCTTGCTTGTTAGCCCTGGAAGTGGTTATGTAAACACTATTGATACTTGCTCTTCGGTCTCCTTTGAACACTCGTAGCCCCCTACCTTTTGAGTAGCTCTCTATAACATCATTTGTTTCACTTTTTACACCTTTCCATTCTGTTATCTTTTATCTTTTTATGTATATGCTTACTTATTTGTTGTCTCTCTCTCCCCATAATAGAAAATGTTTCTTGGGATGGGCATAATGGCTCACACCTGTAATCCCAGTCCCTCCTGCAGGAACACTGAATTTCAACAACTAATAGCATACACACAAAAGCGCAAGCATAAGAACAAAAAACCGGGCGAGCAACCCCAGTACCTGGTTTTAACTTGACATCACTGAATGAAACACACTTAAGAGGACAGGAAAGACAGTCTTAAATCGCTATAGCAACCCCTCCTTGATTCCACAGCAGTGGCTGCATGGTGCAAAGAGATAATCTGTGCACTTGAGGAAAAAACAGAATAGACACTGGAGATTTAGCATTGAACTCAGTGCTACCTTGTCACAGCAGAGAGCAAAGCCAGGCTGAGCTCAACTGGCACCCACCCATGGAAAATGCATTTGGACCAGCCCTAGTCAGAAGGGAATCCCTCATCCCAGATGTCAAAACTGGAACTTCTTCGCAAGCCTCACCACTGTGGGCTAAAGTGCTCTGGGGTCTTAGGTAAACCTCAAAGGCAGCTTAGGACACAAGGCCTGCAATTCCTGCGCAAGTCCTAGTGCTGGTTTAGACTTAGAGCCAGTGCAATAGGGTGGCACACGACCTAGGGAGACACCAGCCGGGGCTGCCAAGGGAGTGCTTGTGCCACCCATCCCCGGACCCCAGGCAATGCAGCTTGCAGCAACAAAAGTGACTCCTTCCTTCTGCTTGAGGAGAGGAGAGTGAATCGTGAAGAGTCAAGAGGACTTTGCCTTGCATCCTGGATACTAACCGGCCACAATAGGATAGGGGACTGGGAAGAGTTATGTGGCCCACATCCTAGGCCCCAGCTCCCTTCTATGTGTAGTAGCAAACTTCTATACATAGAGAAAAACACACATACATATATTTAAATATATTTACATTTTCAAAGATTATTACCTGAAACATCTTAAGAAACAGATAATAGTGACTTCCTCTGACGAAGAGAACTAGGAGATTGCACTCAGAGATGGACAAGAGATTTATTTCTCATTTTATATTATTTTGTATGGTTTTCATTTTTACTATTTATCATTATTTATTTTGTATTCAATTTTTATTTTAAAAGGCAGAAGTATTACAGTAAAAAATATGCATATAGTACAAGTTAAATTGGATGAAAAGGACTGCATTAGTATGAACTATACCATTAACTATTTTAAATAGTATAAGAAGAATGAACTTAAATGACAAGAATCTAACTAGAAATGAAATTAAGTCTCAGAAAGAAAGGCAAAAAGATACATGCATAACTTGATTAAAAAATCAATGTAACTCTAAAATTTCTTAACTAATTCACTACATATTATTGACTCCTTGCTTTATGCATTACATCTTTACAGATAAAATGGAAAACAAGACATTATAGATCTTACATGCTAGCAGGGAGATAAACTGTTATTAATAACACGATCATATAGTTCTTTCTTTAATCATAATTGTAAATGCTTTGAAGAAAAGGAAGATGGCATCAGATTTAAGAACACCCCTGGGTCCCAAGGAAACAGACTGTAAAGTCAAATAACTCTGTTCATGGTGGGTAACTCACTTATGTACTACTTGATATGGGGTCTCTTCTCCAGAGCTTCTTCATAGCACTTGTCATCTCAGAATTTCTCAGAGTGTAGATTAAGGGGTTTAGCATTGGAGTTATGACTGTATAAAACACACTCACTGATTTATCAATGGGGAAGGTCCTAGCAGGTCTAGCATATATAAAAATACAGGGAACAAAGAAGAAGACAACCACAGTGATGTGGGAACTGCAGGTTGAGAGGGCCTTTCGCCTCCCTTTCTGACTAACGTTCTTGAGAGAGTGCAAGATGACACCATAAGAGATGAGTAAGAGCAGAAACACAATAGTGCAAGCCAGTCCTCCATTGGCCACCACTAAAAGGCCAATAACATGGGTGTCAGTACAGACCAGTTTCAATAAAGGGTACATATCACAGAAAAAATGATCAATGACATTAGGGCCACAGAATGGGAGCCCATAAATAATGCTTAGTTGAAATACTGAGTGCAGAAATCCTCCAACCCAGGACACTACCAGCAGCACAACACACACCCATTGTCTCATGATAACCAAATAATGCAAGGGCTTACAGATGGCCACATAGCGGTCATAGGCCATCACCAACAGGAGAAAGACCTCTGACCCACCAAAAAGGTGCTCTGTAAAGAGCTGGGCCATGCAAGATTGGAAAGATATGGAATTATTCCCAAAGAACAAGTCTGAAATCAGTCTGGGGGAAATGGATGAAGAATAAATGATATCTATAAATGACAAGCCAGTAAGAAAGAAGTACATTGGTGAGCCCAGGGTCTCACTGACAGTGACAGTCACTACAATGAGCAGGTTGCCCACCATGGTCAAAATGTAGAAGAACAAGAACAGAACAAAAAGTACTTTCTGCTCCTTTGGATTCTGTGTGAAGCCCAAGAGGACAAAGTAAGTCACATTGTTCCTTGGCTCCATCTATGGTTTATAGCTGCTGACTTCAGATCATAGAAGCAGTTTACCTATAAAACAAGGGGGGAAAACTTTAAATGCATTATAATTTTAATATTTTATTTACTCATTCAATTAAAAATAGGTATGCAGTATCTATGTCAAATCTGTTGTAGACTTTGGAATTGCCAAGTTGAAAAAGACACAGTTTTGTACTCTCAGTGATTTGGTAAATAAAATACCAAAGGGAATAAGTTAAATACCAATTAAATAGGAGTCATAATAAATATATTGACATTATTCTTAGGGTTCACAGTGCTAAAACACTAAATCAAACTAGGATCAGGAAAGACTTTTCAGAGGAAGCCGTGTCTTAGCTGAGCTATAAAGGAAAGGTGATAATTAACTACAAGAGAGGATGGGAAGGGAATTCCACATAAAGATGCATCCTGTATAAATTCACAGATGTATAATACTCGAGAAACCACTTTAGGTAACTTACATTTTCAAAGTGAGAAGAACTAATTATGAATGGATCTTTTGTAGGTGACAACCAACTGACATGTTCAAATGATATCCATTTTTAATTTTCCAGATTAACCCATTTCTTATTTTCATTACATTAAATGTTACTACCTACATTATTGTTTAAACTAAAAATCGGACAATCTACTTCATTTCTCTATTTCTTTCATATTATTTATCAATATTTTTTTTCAAACCCTGTTAACTCTACCTTCAAAATATCCCAATTGGATCCTTCTCACTACCATCTTGTTACCCCCTGGCCTACTCTAATAGCCTCCTGCAAAGCCTCTCCACTCATATTTTGGCCCTAATGTTCCTTCGTGAAGTAGCCCAAATGATCTTTTGAAAATCTTGTTAATATTATACCATTCTTCTACCCAAAAACCCCATGGAGCCCAGATCGAGCCACTGCACTCCAGCCTGGGCGACAGAGCAAGACTCCGTCTCAAAAAAAAAAAAAAAAAAAAAAAGACCCTAGATGACCTGGATCCAGGCCACCTCTCCAAATCCATCCCTTACAATTTTCTACTTTTATCCTGCTCCAGACAGTTTTGATATTCATCAAATATACAATGTGCTTTTCCGTATCCTTAATTTCATCTATTTTTTGTAGACACTTATTTCAGAGATTAGAAGCCATTTACTTATAAAATAATGGTCAATATTGTGGAAATGTGTATAGTAAGTTTAATCTTTTATTCAATTGAAAAATGTTTATATGACACCTACATTGTGTTATGCCTTTCAAATAAAGTAGTCTCTCAGCCATCATGGAATGTTCACAAACTCATTCAGGTTTAGGGTCTAGGCCAGGAGTAATTATCAGAGGAGAAATACTAGTCCGAACCAAGGAATCACCTTTTCACCATCAGTCACCCACTTTTCCAAACAGAATTATGCCTTCTGTGGTGATAAGATAGATAATAACTCTATTTTAATTTATTCATGACGAGTATTGTATAAATACTGACCAAAAACTTTCTACATTTTCTTCTCAATGATACTGAACTTTCCCCTGAGGAAGTCTCCATTAAGCTAGTTGACTTATAAATGTGTCTGATCAACAGCCTTATTTTATATACTGTGAAAACCAAAAGCCTTATTTACTGCGCTTTTACATAAACCATATGTTTAATATGCATGTGGAAAACGCTTCATTTTTCTCAAAGTGTCTATAACACTCTGGTTTTAGAAAATAATTTAGATAATGATAGATGATGATGATGATTAGATAGATGATAGACAACCATTTTATGAGAAATATCTAAACCAGTAAATAATGTTTTTCTAACACTTGCTGTAAGATATCAAATGCTAATCACTACTCTGTGTCATAATTGTAAATGAAATTATCATATAAATTTACTGAGTTTTTTTGAGTACCTAATGAGTTAAAAAATATGGGAGCATGTGTTGTACAGTGCTTGTATCAATATGGATAAAGTGTCTGGAAGTCTTTGCTGAACATCTTTTGGTGCCGCTGAGATTATTCCACTGATGGGGATGGTCCATGGCTGCTATGTGACCATCTGCACTGCATGAAAATCATGACTCAATATAGGTGTGGCCATCTTGCTGGAATGGCATGTGCTGGAAGCTTTATCCAGGCACAGTTTAGATCCTCTCCCCAGTCTGACTTCCTTTCTTTTTTTTTTTTTTTTTTTTTTTGAGGCGGAGTCTCGCTCTGTTGCCCAGGCTGGAGTGCAGTGGCGCGATCTCGGCTCACTGCAAGCTCCGCCTCCTGGGTTCCCGCCATTCTCCTGCCTCAGCCTCCCGAGTAGCTGGGGCTACAGGCGCCGCCACCACGCCCGGCTAAATTTTTTGTATTTTTAGCGGAGACGGGGTTTCATTGTGTTAGCCAGGATGGTCTCGATCTCCTGACCTCGTGATCCGCCCGTCTCGGCCTCCCAAAGTGCTGGGATTACAGGCTTGAGCCACCGCGCCCGGCCTGACTTCCTTTCTATACTCCCAACCTCACAATGTGAATAGCTCATTCATGTGTGACTTAAACACTTCGTTGAAACTCCTCTGCATGGGTACTACTGATACACTTGGTCTCTTTGTTGCTGCCAGTGGTGGGTTCAACTGCCTGATGAACATCATCCTCTTGATGGTTTCTTAAGTGCTATCCTATATACTTTGATATCTCACAGCTTGGAGGAAAGATGCAAAGCTCTCTCTACCTGCGTCTCTCACACCACCGTGGTCATCTAATTCTTTGTGTCTGTATACTTGTGTATCTGTGCCCAGTGACCCTTCCCCAATCAAAAAAGCAGTGGCTGTGTTTTATACCATAACTCCTACGTTAAACCCTTTAGTCTAACCGTCAGAAATGCAGAGGTGAAAGTGCTTTGAGAAACCCCTGGGTCAAAAGATGACTTCAACAGAGAATACAAACATAAGATGATTTTACCCTTTCAATGGTGAAGAGAAAAGAATATAATATCTAAAACTAAGGGCCAAGTAAATACTATATGTCAAAGATGATTCTGGTATACAAGCCATCTGAGCAAAGGTCCGTATAGAAAATTATTTATCATTATATAAATATCCGTTAGATTTATTTATTGCCAATTTGGTTGTTAATCTTCAATGTACTGTCAGAATTGCACAATAAAGTGGTCAGACAAAAACGAATTTAGCAAGTGTGATTATAGATAATTTACATTGTGCTATGGCTTCACAGCACTGGAATTTCTAAATCCAACTGGGCTCTGGGTAGGTTTCCCAGCGGAAGTGATACTTACGATGAGTTTAAAGGAGAAGTGAGAGAAGAGGCTGGAAAAGGGAATTCCATGAAAAGATATGCCATGTATAAACTCACTGAAGTATCACATTGAAGACTCACTTCAGGTAATATATATATTCATAGTGGGTAGAATGCATTATGTGTGCAAGGCTATAGACCAAATTTCTTTGTATTATTTACTAGGGCCACCACCTTATAATAATGATGCTTTTCCGCCGCTTTCCAATAACATGTTCCTAATTTCCATTTGTGACCTTAACTACAAGTACCTTAACATTCATATTTCTAGCAGCATTCAGCTCATGATGAAATATGTATTCTCTAAGACAACAGATGTTTTCTCCTCAGTTCCCCTCTTTCCTTTTTGAGTCTTCACCAGAATCACTTTTCAATGTCCATATTCCTACCCACAGTATCTTCAAGGCAACCCAGGCTCCTTCTATAATGCACTCTCAAACTCTGCAAGCATCTACCCATTACCCAGTTGCAAAGCCACTTCCACATTTTGAGATATTTATTGCAGCACTACCCCACTCCCAGTACCAAAAGCTGTATTATTTTGCTAGAACAGCTGCAACAAAGTAGTACAAACTGGGTGCCTTAAACAATAGAAATGTATCATCTCATAGCTCTAGATCTTAGAAATTCAAAATTAAATATTAACAATGTTGGTTCCTACAGAAGACTATAAGGGAAGGAGATCTTTCCAGGCTCTGTCCTTGGTTTATAGATAACCAACTATATGTTAATACAGCATACTCCTTGTATACAAGTCTGTATTCAAATTTCCGCTTCTATTAAGGACATCAATCATATTGTATTAGGGTCCACCTTAATCATCTTATTTTAACTTGTGTAACTCTGCAAAGACCCACCTCAAATAGGGTTATATTCTGAAGTACAAAGAGCTAGGGCCCCAAAATATGAATTTGTTGGGGGAACACAATGAAACAATAATTGTCATACAACACAATTTATGGTCCATAACTGTCACAGTTACAGAGATCTTACAGACCCACCGAAACCTTCTTCTTAGAGTCTTTACTTGAATATTTCTCCTTTCCGTAACTTGTAAATTCTGAAGCACTCTAAAATTGTATGTCTTTACTCCATTTCTTCCCTAATTTTCAAACTCATATCTGCAGCTATCTAACTGATGCCTCCAAATAGACCTCAATTTAGGATTTATAAAAGCAAATTTTTAATTTTTCATAATATATCTATTCCTACCTAGGTTTTTTCTACCTAACTAGTGAAATGGTACTCCCTTTGTGTTATTGTTCAGACCAAATTTTAACAGTGTCCTTCACCCCTTATTCTTCTTACATTGTTTATTTATATACTTAATAAGTCCTGTTGACTCTTCCTCTATAATACATTACAAACTTGATCATTCTCACTATCCGCATTCGTTCCTGGTCTACTGCAATAGCCAGGTCTACCTACTTTCCTTTTGGCATTCGACAATCTATGTTCCTGAAGCAGCCCAAATGATCCTTTTTTTGTTCTTATATTATTCAGATCCTATTACTCCTTTGATCACAACCCCCATAGGATATTCCTATTATATACTCAATAAAATCCAATATCCCTACCTTGGCCTACAAGATCTTAGGCGACTGGGATCCAGGAAACTTATTCAGCTAATTTCCTACAATTTTCTATGTTTACCTGCTCAAGGCTTTTTACCACTCCTCAAACATTCGAAATGCTTTTGCATCTTTTTAGTTCTATCCATTCTTTTGCAGATGCCCATCTCAGTAATTATAAGCAGTTTACCTCTAAATTAATGGTAAATATTATAGAAATGTGTATTATAAGTTCAA